GACACACAAACTCATTTTTTTGGTTGATTTTTCTTTGTTAAATGGCATTTAGATATATAAAATAAATATCAAAAATATGTCTTTGTTTTACTATGGTTGCAAATATCAAAAAATTTCTATATGTGACACGGCACCAGAGTTAAGTTAGGGTTTTTCAAAATGCTGACACGCCGAGCTCAAAAGGTTCGCCATCACTGGCTTAGAGAGTGTTTAGCACTTAGTAGGCAACCACCTTTCAATAAAGGGATTGCACACCTACTATGTACTTACATGTGAAAGGCACAGCCAGAGACTGAGGAGCCAGAGAACAAGGTAGATGAGGTCCCTACTGTCAGAGAGCTTACATTCTAGCAGGAGAGACCATAAGTAAGCAGAGTAATTAACTATATGTTGTGATTAATGCTATGAGGGAAATCAATAGGACACTGATAGACAACAGAGGAAATTCCCGAGAAAGGGTGTTAGACTAACTAGGTATTTAAATGAGACAGAAGAGAAATGTGGACAGATCTGAAATACATGCTGGAAATACCAATAGGGTTTACTCCTGACCTGGACTTGGGCCATGAAAAAAAAAGCTGAATCCAGGATGATTTATAGATATTTTGTTTCTCTAGGTTTTTTTTGGTTGTTTTTATTTTATTTTATGCTTAAGCAGGTGGATGATTTGATGATACCATATACTGACATAAGACTTAGATTTTGAACAGAAAAGATGAAATTACATCTGGAATATGTTAAATTTGAGAAATCTATTAGACATCCAAATGAAGATAACAGGTAAGCAGCACAGTGCCTGACAGAGAATAGGTACTTAATAATTAACCACACAATAAAAAATATAAATTGTATAAAATTTACTTTAAAAATGAGCCAATACTGGCTACTCTCTAAACCCATGAGAACCAGTGTTGGCAACACCCACAGACAACTGCTAACGGGATGTTTGAACTGAACATGAATCAATCAATGGAACTAACCACTTCGCTATTTTATGGAACCACTAAAATCAACTACTTATAGTATTGTGTAATGCCTTATGATAGTAGTAGCTAGCTAATAAACTATTTTTTTTAAAAAAGATACTATACCTATCAATATAAAGTTGACTTTTTTTTATGTTATTGTCTTTATTCAGGAGTTAAATGTGGCTAACAGTGGTGCATAAAATTGCTGAGAAAACAAAGGGGTGGACTGTGCTTGATCATTTCTTATGTTTGAGATAGTAATTTCATTTCCTTGGATATATACCCAGAAGTAGGATTGTTGGTTTGTACAGTAGTTTTTTTGTTTGTTTGTTTTGTTTTTATTTTTTTAAATTTTGTTTTATTGCTTAAAGTATTACAAAGAGTATTATATATGTCTCCTTTTTTTTCCCCCTTGACATTCCCCTGGCCTCCCCTACCCCCCAGTGTCTTGTGTCCATTGGTTATGCTTATATGCATGCATACAAGTCCTTCGGTTGATCTCTTACCGCCCCCCCCCCCCCCACCCAACCCTCCCCGGCAGAGCAGCATTGAACAGACTGTAAAGTTGACTTTCTAAAATAAAGCTCAGCCTAGCCGGAGTGGCTCAGTGATTGAGCATCAACCTATGAACCAGGAGGTCACGGTTCGATTCCCAGTCAGGGCACATGCCTGGTTGTGGGCTCGATCTCCAGTGTGGGGCATGCAGGAGGCAGCTGATCAATGATTCTCTCTTATCATTGATGTTTCTCTCTCTCTTTCTCCTCCTCTCCCTTCCTCTCCGATATCAATAAAAAATATTTAAAAAATAAAAATGAAAATAAAAATAAAAAAGCTAAAAGCCAGTAATTAAAGATACTTTTGTTTCTTGTTTGAATGAATAGCTATGTCTAAGAATATTGCCTTCATCAAAATATTTTTTCTAAAATGATTAGCTTTTAATGTATTAGATTAAGCATAAAGATTATTATACAGTAACACAAGCACTTTGGAAGGTGGAATATCAGCTGAAACAGGGTTTGCTGAGAAGTTAGATTGGATGGCGGATTCCTGCTAGAATCAATCTTGCTAGCAAACAATCTAAGGCATTCTTCCTACCAGTAGAATTTATAAGTTCCTACCAGAATTATTAAACATTGTATAAATAATGAGACTCACGTATATTTACTTTGCAAATTAATTTCAAAAAGTAAGGAACAAGCTAGAGCAGCGTTTCTCAACCTCAACATAACTGACACTGGGCTGGATGATTCGTTGCCTGTCCTGTACACTGCAGGGTGCTTAGCAGCATCCCTGGCCTCTACCCACCAGATGCCAGCGGCACACCACTACCCATTGCCCAAGCTGAACAACCAAAACTGTCTCCAGACACAACCAAATGTCCCCTGGGGGCACCCTAATTGAGAAGCACTGGTCTAAAGTAATGCAAATTACAGATTATAACCCACACGTGTCAGCATGATTATTTTATTAATGATTTGTGGCAGCCAATTTCCAAGATGAGTTCAACAATCCCCACCTTTTGATACGTCATTATGTGTGACCAATAAAATATATCAAAGGGATGGTATGTGACTTCCAAAGTGGGGTCATAAAAAACACCGTGTGGCTTCTGTCTTGCTCTTTCTTGGATCCCTTGCTCTGGGGGGATGCCAGCTGCCACGTCAGGAGCAAGCAACTCTATGGAGAGGCCTTTGAGGTGGGGAATGAAGGCCTCCAAGCAGCCACCAGGAGGAAGTGAGGCCTCCTGACAGAGCTTGGAAGAAGATCCTCCAGTCTCAAGTCTTCAGATGACTGCAGCTCTAGCCAAGAACATCTTAATGACAACCTCATGAGAGACCCTGAGCTAGAGCCACCCACCACACAGAAACTCTGAAATAATCAATGTTTTAAGCCACTAGGTTTTAGGGCAACTTGTTACATAGCAATAGGTCATCAATACAGAACTATACTTCTGTCTCAAACACAAAAACCCTGGCAAGTATACGAACCCTTACTGCTTAGTAACAGAATCACTACATTGTTTATCAAGGACACAAATGACTGATTCGTAGCAATTTATCTTTTCTAAGCAAAAATAAGACAAATGAGCTCAAAACTGTTTCTCCTGAATTTCAAGTGTGGTTTAGGGGAGAACATCGGAACAGATGGGTAACTGGATTTATGTGGTAAAATAAAATATTTTCCACTAAGAAGTCCCTGAAAATCTTCACAGAGATCGCATACCTAAGTTGGTAGCTCAGTGTCTTCTATCCCATGATACAGCCACTAAACACAGGGCTTTCAGTAGGAAGAATTTAAGATTTAATTGTGGCTCAGGGTCAATGGTGATGATCCATGGAATGACAGAAACTCTACAAACAAAGCTCAGTTTCCCCAGATGTCTTGTATAGCCAAGAGTCTCAGCGAGGCTTCCTACTGCCATAGGCACATTTGTTGTCCGACTTCGTACATAAACAAATAAAATAATTACTAAGTGAATGCGGATTAAGTGATTCAGAATAAACAATATTCTAAGCAAATAGATGCTTATTTCTTACATAACTTGGAAGCCTCTTGTACTTAAAATATCTGATGGTGTTATGGGCTAAACTGTGCCATCGCCCCAATTCATATGCCAAAGTCCTAACTCCCAGCACCTCAGAACATGATACTTGGAGACTGGGTTTTTACCGAGGTAATTAAGTTCAAATGAGGTCACCAGGAGGGTCCTAATCCCAAATGACGGGTGGCCTTTTAAGAGAAAAATAGGCCACAGACGCACACAGAGGGAAGACAATGTGAAGACATGGAGAAGATGGCCATCTACAAGCCAAGGAGAGAGGTCTCAGAAGAAACCAACCCTGCCAACCCCTTCATCTCAGAATCTAGCCTCCAACTGTGTGGCAGTTAATTCCTGTGGTTTCAGCCGCCCAGTTGGTGGCAGTGTGTTATGGCAGCCCTAGCAAACTCGGAGGGCCACCTGGCTGGCTGCCTTCGTGTTTACCAGGTCCTCTGTGACCCTGAGTCTGGTCACTTCCACTGATCGCAGAGACCATGTCATCAGAAAATTAACATGCAGACCATGGCTTTACATTCCCAGAATAAAAAAGTATGTGACAATGTTTTCAGATTTCCCCAAATTAGCCACTGAATTGAAGCCTCACTTATTCTGGCCTTCTTGACTTTTACAACACGTCTAATATCGGAAGAGGGAGAAGAAACAATTAACTCCAACCACTTAAGTAGAAATATAACTGAAACCGAAGACCTTCTCCAAAATGACCGTGGAAAGGGTTACGGACTCTTGATGACTATAATCCAGGGCAAAAGATTTGCTGAAGGAACGCCCACTTTGTTGAATATGGGTTCAGAGATGATCTGCCATGAAAGTGTTGACTCTGAGCAGGTGGAATGGGGAGGACAGGATCCTCATACTAATATTTTGGCTACCATTTACGATAATATCCTCAGGTGAACTGTTACAGTTGATCCAACTGAGGGAGAAAGTAAAGCTTTTAATGAATCAAGAGAGTTGAACAGAAGAATTTTTAAAGAGAAATAATAGTAATGGCAACTTATTCTGAAGTCCATGACATGGGAACAGCAAGATATGAGAAGGATAATTTACTACATCGAATACCAACCTTATGCATTGAGCATTTATTATGCCCAGTGCTGTGTTAAATAGCAAACACGCATCTTCAAGTCTCCATGCCACCCCCTAACAGGTATTACATATCATCCCCGATCAAAGATGAAAAAATAAGTTCAGAGAGGTTACAGAATTATATATCCATACAATAATATGTAATTATCTATTTATGTAGAATATATGATTACAATTAATTTCACAATTTTTCAATTGCTTTTTTTAAATGTGCCTACTAGAAAAATTTAAATTACAGGTTACCTGCATTATATTTCTTTTGATAGTACTATTCTATATTATATTGATTAGCCTCTTCCAAAAATCTATACAGTGCTGTATAATGAATCATAATAGACACTTAACTAGAAATCTGAGGAATTAAGTTTCTGATACTTTCAACTTACAAAACGAGATGAGTTATCATTTTTCACAGTCTTCGCATTTCCAAACGATTCCAGAATTGGATTGGCTTGCAAAAGTTGCCGTTCAAGTTCCCCCTAAAAGACATTACACATACACACATGTATACACACATACACACAAATAAAAGCAGATGTGTGTTAGTCTAGTGTCTTTACTCCAGTCCTCAGGGGGAAAAAACAAAATAAAACAAAAAACTGCCTCTTTCCCTCAGTCCTCTCATCTAGTTTGTCATCCAGCAACCTTTGTTGGCTTCTTATTCTAGGTCATAAGAGGCTCCACTGAAGGAAAAGAGTTAGCATCTATAAAGAAGAAAATGTCACACTGGTCAGAGAAGACACATTTAAGGACAGGGCACATAAATTAGGCAGAGAATTCTAAAAATAAAGTAACTGGTTTTCATAAAATAAAATTTAGCATGACACTTCAATTAAGAACATATTAATACTTACATGTTATAATTACTGGTATAAAGCTTGCCATTTTCCCAATATTTTACTTACATGTTATAATTACTGGTATAAAGCTTGCCATTTCCCCAATATTCACATAATATTTTAATAATGTAGACCAGGAAATATCCTCATCCATCTCCATGATCAGAGATGGTGATACTATTGACTTCTTGCTCAAATGTGAAAGACTTAAGTATAGAGTATTTGATATAATGTATGTGGGTTTTTTGATAATGTTTACTCATATATGCAAATAAAACAGATTTTACAAAAAGATGTGAGTATATTAATATGTGTTTTATCATGAAACACAATAGAAAGCTGGATGAGAAAGCATGATGTCATTTCTGACCATAAAAACTCTAGAAAGTTTTTATGCTTATTCCTGGAATGTAATTTCAGAATTATACTGTATGATTTCAGTAACTCTGCTTTTTCCAAACACAAATCTCACCCCTATATTTTAAAATACCCACAAGCACTCCAGACCTAATGAAAGAAAGGACTAAAAACCACTAGCAGCCCTGGCCTGTGTTGCTCAGTTAGTTGGAGCGTCATCCCATGCACCAGAAAGTCACAGGTTCGATTCCTCGTCAGGGCACATACCTAGGTTGCAGGTTTGTACCGGAGACAACCGGTTGATGTATCTCTCTTACACTGATGTTTTTCTCTCTCTTCCTTCCTCTCTAAAAATCAATAAAAAACAACAAACAACCACTAGCAAATGTGATTCTCTAAGCAGTGGTTCTCAACCTTCCTACTGCCGCACCCCTTTAATACAGTTCTTCATGTTGTGGTGACCCCCAACCATAAAATTATTTTCATTGCTACTTCATAACTGTAATTTTGCTACTGTTATGAATTGTAATGTAAATATCTGATATGTAGGGGTCGCGACCCACAGGTTGAGAACCACTGCAAGGGAAAAAAGGAATATAAGGAACCTCACATAAGATTTGTTAAGTAATGATCAGTTGCTATGTGACTAAGTATACAATAATCAAATCCAAAACCAGGAACAAATATATACCAAATGGAATCCTGTACTCTGAAAGGGTGAGGACGTTTTTCTGAGGCACATGACACAGTGAGGAAATATGCTCCTTATGTCTACTCTGCAGCACTTATCAGGATTGTTCAGACTTTTACAGGTGCTAATACCAGTCTACGATTGTGTCCCATTGAGACCAGTCAGGAACCAGTCCTTGTCAGAACCCCAAGCTGCATGAATTTCATGCTACCAAGTACTGAAACACTTTCTTGGCACTAGAAGATATGCTCTTTGTACAGTGAATCATCTAGTTCATTAATTTCAAAACACCAGATTATTTCTGATGTAAACCTTTCTAAATATTATATGCTACCAAAATTTCTTAAACATGGCATCCTGAGCCAATTTTAATGACTTGAGAGTCATCATTAAAAATGTTAGTATCTGCCTGGCCTGTGTGGCTCAGTGGTTGAGCGTCAACCTATGAACCAGAGGTCATGGTTCTATTCCTGGTCAGAACACATGCCCAGGTTTTGAGTTTGATCCCCAGTAGGGGGCATGCAGGAGGCAGCTGATCAAAGGTTCTCTCTCATCACTGATGTTTCTATCTCCCTTTCCCTTCCTCTCTGAAATATATTTTAAAATATTGTTAGTATCATTCTGTGATATAACAGTGCCTTTCTCCTGAGGTCACGTCCAGCGGTGTGCCCATGGCTAACATCCTACAAAAGCCCTCAGATGCTGGCTCTGCAGTAGATGTTTGGGCTCTAGAATCCTTTGACCTCACTCAGAATATGTAACCAGAATGTAGAAACTGTTAGAAAAAAACAGCTTTTCATAAGTGAGGCATTACCTTTACAACACCGAACATCTGTTAGATCAAGGAATTAGAATAGGTTCCTCAAAATTACACAATATTCTGCCAAATAAAACAGTAATGAAAATACTTTAAGAAGTAATGCACCTTTAAAATGTTTTCCTAACTTGGGAGGTAATACAAGTGTTGCATATTCCATTTTAATATTCCCTAGGCATGGCTACAGAATTCTTTGGATTAAGTTTATTGATTCTTTTCCTTTCTTGTGTGTGTGTGCGTGTGTGAGATTCTCTCCTGCTGGCTTATAGCAGCAATTTTCAACCTTTTTCATCTCATGCACATATACACTAATTACCAAAATCCTGCAGTACACCTAAAAAACATGTATTTTTTCCCTGACCTGAACAACAACAAAAAGTGTAATTCTGATTCATTCACAATGGACCACTATTGTTCTGTTGGCTGTTGTCATTTTTTAAATTTGATAACCTAAGGGAAAAGAGTTCAGAGCCCCTGACTATATAGTCAGGTATTGCATGTTTTAAACATTCTTGTGGCACACCGGCTGAAAATCGCTGGCTTATAATCATTGACTGTATTCCCTGCACCTAGCTCAGTCAGTAACGAGTCAAAATGATGCACCGGGACTATTTCCCGAGTAAATGTATAATCAGAGATCCTAGAACATTCTAGTAGTATTTGGGGAAGGGATGGTGGTGAGCTAAAGGTGGTAACAAGATTTGGGTAAGGGTCCCCGTAGTCACGGAAGTAGCTGTAGACATTGGCACTTCCATGTCCCTCTTCCATGTCTACCGTAATAGCCTTGTGGTATTACTTCTGTTCTGATGGATTTGTGGCTTCAGTGAGTCCGGGCAAAGACCTCAAAAACTCATCAATGAATCACAAAAAAAGTGACACGAAACATACAAAAATGGTCTTACATTAAGAAGTTACCACTAAATTTGATCATTTCTGTGTTGAGCAATTTCATATTTAAACAGTGCCAAGATCTCTCAACCAAATGACAAAGCCACTGGTAAACCATCGGGGCAGTGACTAGCTGTTACCCCTTCTGCTAGAACTGGATGGGCAGTGGCCCTTATTTCTATCCAATATAAGGAGAAGTGGCGTTTGGGAATGTGGAAAACAGCCACATTAGCTATTGACATTATTTTTTAAATTCTAAGTATTTAGAATTGTATGGTTTAAAGATTTACCAATGGTGATGAAAACCCTGTTTATTACATAGTGTATAATAAACTTGCTAGATGATAGATAGAGGATGACTTTAAATCGGTAAAACTATATACCCCTTTCAAAATTTCAGTTCAGCCAACAAGGGGACTCAGGCTGAGACCATCCTGCACCTGCAGGCTGAGAGGGCAGAGGCGTGGTGTCGCACTGACCACAGGAGGAGGGACGAAACGAGGTGGCAGCAGCTAGTCACAATGTTGAGAAACAGACTCTAATCACAACTGGCAGGTCTAATTTCTGTACTTGCTATCACCTTGTGTCCTATAGTTCAAGGCCGTTTAGACCAGTAAATACAATGGTAGCCTGAGATGCTGCCTGGCTTTGGGGCAGGTGAGCGGGCTGGATGGATCGCCCTTAGGGATTGGTCAAGTTTTAGAAACTGGTTGTTTTAAACCTTCTCTGAAACTGAGCTGAGCTCTGCCTCTGGTGTGGCACTGAACACCGTGCAGGCTCTGAGGCCTATGACAGCGACTGATGACGAGGGAAGAGGGGGTGGAAACTGTACTTTCAGTTGGCTGGGTGGCAAAGCCAAATAAGATGTAATTTTATTATAAAAACTCTATCAAAAGTTTATAGGCAAATGTTTAACGTTTATTTAAATATTGTGAGCTCAATTTTAAAAATTGATGTCATGTATTTGTTCACGTTTCTGTAAGTTTCAAAGGCACATATAAAAAGGACAGATCACTTTGCTCTGCCAGAATGGCTACAATAAAGACATTGACAGTGTTGGTGAGGATAGAGAAACTGGCACCCTCCTAAACTGCTGGTGAAAATGTACAAAAATGGTACAGTCACTCTGAAAAATAGTTTGGCAGTTCCTCAGAATGTTAAACAGAAAGTTACCACAACTCACCAATTCCACTCCTAGGCATACACCCAAGAGAACTGAAAACCTATGTCCACACAAAACTTGTCTGCAAATGCTCAGTGCAGCATTATTCGTCATGGCCCCCAAATGGAAACAACCCCAATGTCCATCAACTGATGAATGGATTAACGAAATGCGACATATTTAACATCACGGAATTTTATTCAGCCATAAAAAGGACTGGAATATTTATACATGCTACAGCACGAATGAACCTGGAAAACATTATGTGAAAGAACAGTCACAGAGAACCACATATTATAGGATTCCATTCATATAAAATATCCAGAACAGGCAAATTCTTTGAGACAAAGTATTTTAGTGATTTCCAGGGACTGGGAGGAAATGGAAGGTGACTCCGAATAGGTACGGAGCTTCATTTTGGAGCGATGAAAATGTTCTAAAATTAATTGCAGTGATAATTATATATCCTTTAAAAAACTGAAGAGTATACTTTAAATGAGTGAATGCTATGGTACATGAATTAAACCTCAATAAATAATGCTGATTTTTAAGAATAAGCAAATAGACAAATAATAATAGACTCACAAAATCAGGAGCTTAGAAATCATACTAATGATATGCTAGAAATTTATACAAATGGTTCCTGGGAACTTAAGTTTTGCCTATGAAGTTCATCAATGTAAATTAACAAACCAGTGATATCAAGCCAAAAGAAACACTGACTTGCGAAGTCTAGACTTTCAACATTATAATTGTTACTTTATGGCAGTCACCCTCAAAATGGGGCATGGAAATCACGACTAGCGGCACCCCCGGAGGGGGAAGGGAGTGTGGACTGAGAAGTAATTACTTGCTAGGACCCTCTCCAGGGTGTGTGCATTCCCTACTACTCACGAGTAGCTCATATCCCTTAAGTGTGCTGGGGAAGAAAAATTAATAGAGAACCAGTGTTCTCATGTTTCTAAAAACATAATCGCAGCTACTCCTCGACTAGACTATTATGAAATAACTTGGGAAAAGCAGCCTTGACGATGCGGTGCACAGGAAATCCATGCAGGAAGACATGCAAATCAACGACGACAGCGAAGCGAGGCCTAGAGAAGCGGTGGCCTTCTTTGGGAGAACTTGCTACCCAGGGATTGATTTGACCCAAAGTTAAATCTGGGGGGAGGCATGCTACTCACATACAACAGGGATCCACTCGGTAGTTTAAAATGACATCGAAACAAAATGCAAACAACCATGACTTATGTTTTCCATAGAGGGCTGGAAAACCTAAATCTGTGCTTCGTTTAAGTAGGGATCTAAGTACCTATTAAAAGGACAAAAGCTGGTTTCTGGTCTAGTGCTTCCTTCTTTAAATATCCTATAGGATGATGATCATTTCATTAACCCTCCAATTTGTCTGAATGGTCTGGTCTGCAGCTAAGAGAGCTGAAAGGCACCACAGGCCTTCAGAGGTATAGTACAGCTCTGGATGTGAGAATTTCTTACATTTTTAAGGAAGACATCTGAAAATCTTAGTACCTGTGACTATTCCTTTATTTCTATTCTGTTCTATTTATAATAGAAACTTGTGACGGTTTCTTTATAGTAATAGTTGATTTTCATAACTCGATACCTTTCTTGCTTTATATGAGCTTTGTAGCATTATGTTTGGGGGAAACAGACAAATCAAGACCATTCCCGTGCTAGGAAGGGTTCCGGCCGAGGATGGATGGCCCATTCTGCCTGAGGCCCTGGCTCGGCTCTGCCCGCCCCTCATCCCCAGGGCAGCAAGTGCTCCAGTTCGCAGTGCGTTCACTGCTTTGCTCTGTGGAGCCAAAGAGGTGGCATCTGAGAGCTGGGAAGATCAACACTCCTCAAGACATGCCACAGACAGAAATTCTAATTTTATAAAATATAAGCAGACCTTTAGGTTAAAACAGATATGGCCATAAAATTTTAACAGATTTGAATTTTAAAGCTGCAGCCCCAGATTCAAAATTTAATATATGGCACAAGGCCAGGCTTCCATGTGTTGAAGAAGCATTAATATAATTCCACCTAGTACTTGGCATATGAAACCCTGAGGTTATAGGCTTCATAAATGTGCGATTCAATGTCATGATAAAAGAGTAATTACTAAAATTCATCTAGAAAACAAATTTAAAGCAAAACGGCATGCTGCTTCTGATGAAAAGAACAAGCCTCTAAGCAAGAAATTTTCAAAATCAAAATGTTCTTCATAATAGATTTCACTCAGAACTAACGGTATTGTTTCTAGTAGAGACTCAATCTAAAGACAGAAATTAGTGCGCACACTCAAGACTAAGAAGCATAAAGAAAAGCACTTGCCTGGTGTTTCACGGGTTTAGGCGATTCCTGCTGCTCGTTACAAACAGACAAATGCAAATGTTAGCAAGAGTGGTTCTCCCCTAGAGCAGTAAGCCACCTCCACAGCGCCCAGTCCCTGCAGTTAGAACTGGGAGGGCTGGGAGGGCTGGCATTCTTTCAGGCCACATTAACTAACAGTTTTGCAATCTACAAAGTAAGGATAAAGGACATTGATATCCTTACCCCTTTTCTATCTCCAATTTTTCCCAAATTTCTAGCCTCCCCTCAAGCTGCTGTGGGCAGTAGCAACCGGCTGCTTTGCAAAGTTCAGAAAGAACTGCTAAAAATATTTGGGGCTCTTCTTTTGGTGGAAAATAAGTCTTCAAAGGCACTGCTCACCAGTTTTTAACAATTCTCACCAAATCTTTGCAAGAAATGAGGCTTCAAGCCACAGCCATGATTGACAGCCATTTCCTGATCATCGGCTCCCTTTTAAGTGAAGGAGAGAGTTGCTGGGCGGGGAGGGGGGATAAGGGCGCTGTCAGAGAGCAGCACACTGGGTGGACCCGCTTCCTCAGTGTTTCTGAAATTATGAAAGAATAAATCTAAGATGTAAAACACCAGCCACAGAGCAAGAACTTACAGGAATATTATGGTCCTTGCGTCCTTTGTGTGAGGAAGCGACATGAGCAAGGTACTGGATGACCTTCTTAGTGTTCTCCGTCTTCCCGGCACCCGACTCGCCCCTGGAAGAGACAGTAACACAGGCCGCCTTGAAGGAAGCACAGTTCACATTCCAAAATTATACTCAACAAATTAAACTGAGCGGAAACAAGAATTAGAAAATAAAAAAAATAAGTAAAGGGAAAAAATCTATCAGCAGTAGTTAGAAAGTTATTGTTTTTAAATGGTATTAAATTAACCCAAATGTTTTTTGGTAAGGGGCCACAGGAAAATGCTCACAGCACTTTTTGTTCCTGGCACAAGGGTTCTGGCGTGGAAGTGAAATTTATTAGAACGCTCGCAAAGAAATCCCTTAGCACCAGAAATGTACCCAGCACTGGAGATGGAATTCCTAAAACAATGAAATGAAGGTAATTTAATCTGAAGGAACTGAGTGAACTCGGGGATGCCCACCGATTACTGACATTCGTTTCCTAAACCAGCCAAAGCGTTCTGAGCTCATCCCTCATTGCAGGTGAATGATGGTTCTCTCCCGGGTACCAGTACACAGCACCGTGCACCTCTTAGCTCACACCTTCACAGAGATTGTGCATTTGTTTACTTGTACGTATGTGTTTATTTATTTGTGTTGCTTCTTTTGAATCTTCATAGCCTTGTGTTATGTTGATACATGGCCAGTACACAATTTGTAGAGAAACTGAACAAAGTCTGATTTTTGTTATGAAGGAGGTGAGACAAATGCCATCACTTTATATGATGTATATGTTCAAACAAGGCTGGCATATTTTGCTTATATCTACACAGTGCTAAGCTTGAAAGTCAGGTAAAGGCTGCTAGCATGCAGTGACTCCTGAACTGGGGTCTCTCTGCTCAAATGTTTAAGGCTCCCTAGGATATAATCAAAGCAAACCTACCTTGACAATCAAAATCTCAATTTAAATAAATATGTAAAATTTAATATAGAATTAGATTATTATTTTTTTAAATATATTTTTTATTGATTTTTTTACAGAAAGGAAGGGAGAGGGATAGAGAGTTAGAAACATCGATCAGCTGCCTCCTGCACACCCCCCATTGGGGATGTGCCCACAACCCAGGTACATGCCCTTGACCAGAATCGAACCTGGGACCCTTCAGTCCACAGGCCGATGCTCTATCCACTGAGCCAAACCGGGTAGGGCTAGATTATTTTTAAAAAACCAAACTCAAAAATGTTATTTGACACATTGCCAACTAAGATTCCTGTCTTATCTAAGGCATGAAAAATCTGTTTTGTTCCAACAAACTTTGACCCTTTCTTGGCTGTACTATGAACTATCCACAACTTAAATTTTTCAGTAGGTTTACTGGTTGCATTATCTTCCTAACTCTCTGTACCCAGATCCCCCAATCTCAACCGCAGAGGGGTAACCAACTAGCTGTATGGCTTTGAGTAAGGCAATTATCTTTTTTGGGCATCAGCACCACCATCTGTAAAGTGTAGGAATTGGATTAGATCCTTTCTAGCTCCAAGATTCAATAATTCTAGATATAACCTACTTATTACTTTATGAGAATATATTAATCACCACCTGTTGTTATATTAAAATTCAACCCCTTCTTTGTTTTGCAACGTAGAAGTTTTAAATCTTAGGTACTCAAATTGATAACCTTTCTTGTAAGGCCTTTTCTGCACCAAGATTACATCCATCTATATTCTCATTTTTTAAAAAAATATATTTTTCTTGATTTCAGAGAGGAAGGAAGAGAGAGGGAAACATCAATGATAAAAGAGAATCACTGATCGGCTGCCTCCTGTACACCCGCCACTAGGGATGGAGCCTGCAACCTGGGCATGTGCCCTGACCGAGAATCAAACCGTGACCTCCTGGTTCATGGGTTGATGCTCAACCACTGAGCAACACCAGCCATGCTATATTCTCATTTATAACTAAATCTTTAATCAACCTGAAAAAATAATTTATGGTTGGAGGTAAAGATTTAAACTAATTTCCCCCAAATGACTCAACCTATATCCTAATATCAATGGTTCACAAAGACATTAATTCTCCAGTGATATGAAATGTTATATTAATAAGCTTTGGCTTATTCCAAAGCTGGTACCATATTGCAGTTGTGTTGAAATATGACTAATCAAAGTACACATCATTTTTCTTCTTAAAAAAGCACACAAACCAAGTCGTCTCCGGGGTTTGTTTTGTCAGATAAACTTCAAATAATTTTGTTCTGCTATGTCTCCCCCATCTCCTGCTCCCACAAATAAACAGGTGGAATTTTGAATATTAACATGTATGCTATTTTTAGGAGAAATGATGTTTTCACCTCTGTCTCTCAGGTAACTTTGTATTTTTCTAAGTTCATAACAAGCAAGGACCATTTATCTTATTCATCTTTAAAATCATAGTGCCTAGCATAGTAAGTGCCTTTGAATACAGGTCCTACGCATGTTTTGTTAAGTTTACTCCTAGGCTCTTTGAAAATATTTTTTGTTCCTGTCATTAATGTCCTTTCATCACCATTCTGTTTTCTACCTGTCTACCACTGGTACCTAGATAAGGTTAATAATTTTCATTCACTCACTCCACAAATATTTACAAGTTTACTTCTACGTGTAGGGGATTTTTCTCAGTGCTAGAGAGGTAGCTGTGAAAAAAAATGCATGTCCTTATGGAGCTCACGTTTAGGAGAAGAGACAGAAAATAAGCAAGAAAAATAAGATGATTACAGAATGTGAGGAATGCTACAAAGGATGAGGATCTGGGACGAGCTTCCTGAAAGATGAGCCGGAACTAGCAAGTGAAGAGCTGGGGGCAGAGTGTTCAGGCAGATGGAAAGACAAACACGAAAGCCCTGCCAGCGCGGCGTGGCTCAGTGATTGAGGGTCAACCTATGAACCAGGAGGTCACGGTTTGATTCCCGGTCAGGGCACATGCCAGGGTTGCGGGCTTGATCCTCAGTAGGGGGTCTGCAGGAGGCAGCCGATTGATGATTCTGTCTCATCAATGATGTTTCTCTCTCTCTCTCCCCCTCTCCCTTTCTCTCTGAAATCAATAAAAATGTTTTTGGTTTTTTTTAAAGCCCCAAAGCAGGAAAAAGCTTGTTAAATTCTAGGAACCAGCAGCCTGTGTGTAGGATTTGATGTAACTAACCAGCAAGGCAGAGAACAGCAGGAGACACTGATGATGTAGGAACAAGGTGGATGTATGTGCCCAGGAGTCAGGGGAAAGAATGTGGGTTTTCTCAAGTATAATTTCTTAGTAGCTATGGTAGAGGTGTTCTCTGTTTTGTTCTTAACTTTATTCAACATACTTAGTGTTTCAAGGTTAATCATGATGTTGGCTCTCGGTTTCAAACAATGTTTATTATGCTGAGAAATGAGCGTCTCATTTGACCGATGATGACTCGTCTTGTACAGTTATGACTGGCGCTTTTCAGCTCAGTTTGCCTCTGGTTTCTCAGCGAACCCCTCTCACCTGGACATGCTTCAGTTTGTCCTTAAAGCACTCTCCCCTCCCGTCACACTTCCTGGGCTGTTTATTAGCATAAACACAACTGTTTAGGAACTCTGCTACATTTCACACACTTCAGTTTAAGGTAACTTCGCTGTAGAAAATATTGTTTCAAAGTTGGATGTATTCAAAGTTGGATGATGAGCCTTACATCCTCCATCTTAGCAGGGACCACAGCCTCTGCTGTGTGAGGTGGTTGTGAAGAAAAAGTACCATCCATCTAAAGCACATGATTAGCATTCAATAATCGTTACCATTACCGGCCCCACAACCTTTCACCCACCATACAAGAGGTCATTTGAATGACTGAACTCCAAATGACTCCCTGAATCGATAGTGTAAGAGTGTGGCTCTGGTGTCAAAGTGACCCACCTGGGTTCAAATCCCACCTACCACTTCCTGGCTATGGCATTTCCGGCAAGTTACTGAGCTCTTTGATCCTCAGTTTATCTGCTTTAAAAAGAGATAGTTATTTCCCAGGACTGAGAGAATGCATGTAGGAGCCTAACACTGCACCTGGCAAAGTCTCTCAATAAATGGCTGCAGTAGTAGAAGTAACAGCTATGATGATGATCAATAATGATGATGATAAATATATTAACAAGTTTTATAAAAACCTTCGATTTGAATACGAAAGAGATGGAGGATCAAAGGAATACAATTCTTGGAAAAGATTTTTTTAAACGGGCAATGGCACATCTGTCCTAGATGGAAGCAAAGAAAATAAAGCCACTTGAACAAAAGTCACAGGAAAGGGAACCAACCAGATAGTTCAGCAGACGTCTCTTGAAGAAAATGAGGAGAATTCTGAGAGGAGAACAACAGGACGAGATCTCAAAGAGAAGGAGGACAAAGGGAATCTGACCTCATTTCCACCAACACGCGGTCTGCTGACCCAGGAGTTCTGTGCTGTGAGTGACTGCTTGTTTCTGTGCTGGTCTCCTGGTTCAAGGGCAAGGTTAACAGAACAAAACAAGGAGCCTGCTGGGTGGGGTGCCTGTGTCTGCTGCAGCGCTTCCGGACATAAAAGATCAGGAATTCCTAATCTGAAGGTATTTGTGTTTTCTAGAAAGGTCTATGGCTTTCTCGGCTCCTCAAAAGGATGTGCAATTCAAAACAAAGGCTTAAAAACCAAGAGTGGAAGGAAGCAGTAAAGCAGATCATTAATAAATGATCAGTTCCAGGATCTTTCTCAGATTCCCTCTAGACCAAGGGTGTTTCCCCAATGAGAAACCCCTTGCCCAGATCTTCACTAGTTTTGTTTTTATTCTCTCTGGCTATTTATAAAATTCAATTCAGTCTAGCTTCAAAAACACCCTTTGCCTGAAGTTCTTGCTTTAGATGATCTCAATTTGAAAAACAACATATATATTATTCAATCTACTAGAGGCCCAGTGTGCGAAATCACGAGCGACCCAGACTCGCCGCACCGGCAGGACCCCAGACCCGCCCTGTGCCACGCCAGCCCCGCGCAAGCTCCGCCAGCCCTGCGCGAGCCTGAGTCCCGAACTGTGAGAGGTGCTCCATGCACCTCCTGGTGACTGGTTGTTTGG